AAAGTGTCCTGAGATAACTGTCTGTTATGAAATTCGTGCTCATACGCACATAATTAGATGTGAGCCCAGAATAGGTGAATCGAATCCACCAGGTTCACTCATTATACTCCACATCCGAGGCCACTCGGCCGAGGGAGCCGTGGCAGTAGCACCATATAGTGATTCAACCCGGCGTCTTTACATTGCACCCCTAATACAAAACTGAATAAATCTGTATAACACTCGTGAACAGCCTTGTCTCTAGCTTTCCTCCACCCCAAACTCGGAAAACCTGCAAGCCAGTTCTATTTGTTATACTGTCGTACCGGCTGCTCTAAACCCATATCAGATTTCTATATCTGAATTCTCAGAGTTTGTCTATCCCAAGCTTTAGCTCTTACAATCAGATAAAGCTGCCGAATTATTGAGGTGATTCTTAATATTCATCTGCTGGAGTGGTCTGCACAATGACAGCCTTAGTAAGGAGCAATTTATACCTCATTAATGAGACCTCAGATCTCGCTTGCCTGCCCAGAGTGTAAATAACACACCTCACTGCTCGTTGGTGCAATCAAGCAACTCTTGTTCTGTCTAATGGCGATTCCAATGTCAGTTCACCAGTTCAATTTTATTTGTATAGGCGGGCCCAATATTCAATAACTAGAAGTTATCGCTCTCAGGACCACTTTTCAAATACGCAGCAGGTCTAGACTGAACTCTTTTTACATTTACAGAGACCCAAACCAGTACCCATCGGAGACACACTTGCCGCACGGGGGCGCGCAGAGGGAAACAGACTCTTTTTAGACAGCGCGGCGACAGAACCTCAAGGACAGAGACCCTTCAGCTCTCAGTGCCTGGTGCGGAGCCAGAGAGAGAGAGACGCAGAGACGAGAAGAGAGACACAGAGAGAGACAGACCAGATCCTCACAGCAACCAACCAGTAGCATACAACGGTAACCATAATCAGTAGCTGACCGATGACCTATCAATTGCGGAAAAAAGACAATAACGACTGACCCAGCAGCAATGATGGGGGACAGCGAGCAGCTAACCAAACCAGTAACACAGCTAAACGTCGCCGAATAATAGACTACGTGTAATAAGGTACACTAGATAGATCAACTGTAACAACAACTAAATATCAAGTAATTTTCAGCAATGGCGTAGGTCAAGCAGCGGACCACTGGCAGGCGGAGGCTTCACCGCGATCCATGAGAACACCTGTGCAGATGAGACAAGCAATGGAAAACTCCGGGAACAACGTGAAATCTGACACATTCTGACATTGAGCATTCTAATACTCCTTCCACATAGAAGCATCGCTTTCCCTAGAGCAGGTCTAGACCGAACTCCTTTTAACATTTACAGAGACCCAACAGTACCACCATGAGCAAGACCTTGGCGACGGTGGCAAGGAAAAACTTCCTTTTAAGGGTAAAGGAGTGAGGAGGCAAAGGACAGAGACGAAGATGCACAGCAAGAACAACAGTGGGAGGAAATGGAGACGATGGTTCTGATGTCTGTAGAAAGATTTTATCTTTTATTTCAGCATCAGAATCACTGTTATTGGTCAGGTATGTTTGCACATACAAGGTATTTGACTCTGGTTTTACTTTGCTCTCCATGTACAAACAGACTAACAGCATAAATAAACAGAACAAGTTCAACAACATAAAGATAATCTTATACGTACAGTTATACATATATATAAAGAAACATTTGTAGAACAAATAAACAAAAACACAAAATGTACTAGAGAGCCGGTATTGACACACCAGTCTGGATCTCCTGCTCATATTGAGTCTCTCTCTGGTCTTCAGTTTCTGCCAAGTGTCAAAATTCTTGAAAATTATTATGTTTTTTGGAAAGTAAAAACTTGTTTTGGTTATTTCTAAAATGGGAACTTTTTTTAAAAGCTTTGAAACAGTGAGGACAATTTATACTTAAGTTCAGGTTTGAATTAGGTTACTGTGTGTGTGTGTGTAATCTGACTCTGTTGTTTACTCCGACTGCAGCTGCTCACATCAAACACACACACACACACACACACACACATATATATACAATGGTCGGAACATTGTATGTAAAACATAAATAACAACAGAATGTAGTGATAAAGTTATATTAATGTTCAAACTGATAAATGGGACACTTGGGACATGTCCCAGTGTTTTAAAAGAAGCATCAGCACTTTAATCAACAACCTGAGGTCTGCAGACAGATCACAGTCTTATTTTATTTATTCTTTACAGAGCTGCTAACTGAAGACGTCTCATGTCTTTGTCCTTTTGCTGTAAATTAATCTATTGCTCTTCTTCTAGCTGCTGTACTTATCTATAAATGATTATCCTGTGGTGGCCTCTAGTGGACGGTGATCGGCAGTTAATAGCATTGAAACAATGAGGCACTTCTCATCTAAAAGTTGATACATTTTTTTTATCTAACGTTGATTTTCCTTCAGTTTATGCTTCGAATGTAGGGCAGTGATATTGGATATTACTATTTTCATTGATAATGTGATACTGACATTGTTTGATTGCAGCTGTGGATGGATTTTGGAATTTCCCCATTGTGGGAATATCTTATCTTATGTGATGGATGGCTATTACTGTATCATTGTTGTGCATTGTTGAGTATATTCATATTGTCAACTCTGTAGTAACTACACACGTTTGGTGCAATGCTACACAGCAAACCTGTATCTATATTAATCATTAACTAAATAGTTCTTACATCTATTTTTCTAAAGTACATCAATTGTTAGCTAAGTTAGCAACATTTTGCAAACATTAGCTTATTATCCCATTCTTTCCTGATGATGAAAATTAGAATTGGGTGTGTATAGACCATGGTTTGGGTGAATACTGGACTCTGAGGCTGCAGGTGTTAATTCCTGATGTAGGACACAAACTAAGTATTTACAGTGAAACTGTGTGTTCACCGTAACTTGAGTAGGGACAGAAAGGACACAGGTGAGTGGTCAGTGCTGTAGATACAGGACACTGGTCAGTGTTGTAGATAGGTATAAGAGGATAATGCCCTTTGAGGTGTTCATTATCAGGAATTAATGGACTCCATGTTGGCCATTAATTCCTGATAATTAACACTTTATCGAACATATTAAATGTTTAGTGTAGATCTTATAAATCTAAACTAAAGTAATAATACAAAACTAATAGCAAAATAAATTAATGTAATAATAAACAAATAATAAAGTATTGTAATAATAAAATCTATGAAAAGATTGTTCCTGAAACACATCCTGCACATCGACTCTCATCATGTTACAGTCGACCTCCATTCCTCACACACACCCTTCTTTTTCTGTTTTCCTCCACCTGCATGACCAGCTGTCTGTCTCCACTCTGATTGGTCAACATTGGACCCCAGGCTGCGTGTGATTGGTGGAGGGCTGGCGGTCACTCGCTTGGAGAGTGATCGAGTGTCAGAGTCAGCGCCAGCTCAGATTCCTCTTTCTGTTCCTACATTTAGAGCGAGTGAGCTAATGCTAACGCTAGCCCTGAGTTAATAAACATTGCATAGACAGGAGGTCAAAGGTCACCACAGCTGTGAGACCGTGAACACAATCACAACAGAGCAGAATGAGTCCATTAATCAACTTACTCAGTGTGTGACAGCTTCCACAACAGGAAAGACTTTCCAAAATAAAAGTGTAAGTATAGAGGTGTGACTGGATGGTGTCAGCAGGAAGTCGACCTCAGAGGATTTCCTGGAAGAACATGAGACATTGAGACAGATGGATGGACAGACGATCTGAGTTTATTTTTTGCACATCCAACATGTCACTCTGAATATGGAAGCCTAAAAGAGACAATATTAAAATCATAATGTAATTCCACAATATAATTTTACACATAAGATTCTGTTTTCAATTTTATATTAAGAATATATTAAATTGCATTTTAAATGTACCATTTAAAACTGGTCAATTATTTGATATTTTCCTTTGCAAAGAATATTTTCAAGCAAACAAAAAATCGGGTTCACAGCTTGCTGTATTTTTAAAAACAAAATAAAGAATTTTCAAGTTTTTCCAAAGAAGAACCAAAAGTTCAAGCCCAGAAATGTTATTTCAGAACTTAAACGTTTGAGTTTGACTTTAGTGAAGACAGTTGCCTTTAAATTGAGTTTTATTTTTACAGTTCATTACAATCAAAATATAGTTTAAGTACTCATTATGCAGAGTATTTATTATGTTATTGAATTATAATTATTGATGCATTACTGTGTTTAATTCATGTTGCAGCTGATAAATGTGTATCTCATTTTAATTTATTATTATACAACAAGGTTGAACAAAGAAATGAAAGTTTGCAGTTCCTTCATGCGTTAATGCACGTTACTAACTTCACCCTGCTGTTGTCCTGCTTGACCCCCACTGCTAATATTACTGATTGTTGTTTTTATTATTATTATCATTCATCCCTCATCGTTGTGGCTATTATAGTCATCATCAGCCATTTCTACTAATATAGTTGTTGCTACTGTTGTTGTTCCTCCTAATCTCCTCCTCCAGGTTTCTCCATGATCACTGAAGTCCCCCCAGCAGAACTATGGAGTCCCTATCCTTTCCTGAATGCCCCCCCAATGCTACACTATTATCCTCCCCTCTTCCACTCCACAGAGGGTTTCAGAGGCTGTAGCAGGCTCCCTTTTAAAGCTAGTGGAGATACTGATATCATATGAAACTAGATATAGCATTCACCGGTACTAACAGCAGTCAGAGACTTCCTTCCTTCAGGGTTCTCCAGGTAGAACTCCAACACAGCACGGACTACCTCCACACTAGACCATCGATCTGTGGCTAGCTTTTTTTACTAATACATTGTTAGATTTTTACTGTGGTATCAGTAGACAGTGTCTGTCTGTCTGTAAAATACACCTTACAATTGTCCTCTAATCTGCCTGGAGACACGTCAGTGCAGGATTGTGATTGGCTCAAACTGTTCCAGTACTCTGTCAACAAAGAAAGTGAAAGTAAAGAGACGGAGAGAGAGAGAGAGAGAGAGAGCAAGAAACAGATGGATAAAATCAAAGTAATTAGGTTCAATCGACAGATTCCTGACAGAATGTTTGTCGTCCAGCTGATGTTTGTCTCTCTGTTCTTCCACGTGGTGACGAGTAAAGGTAACAAACTGCTGTTTCTGTCCTTCTGCAGGTTGTTCAACAAGCTGAAGACATCCTGAAAATCATTTATCATGATTCTGATCAGTAGAGCTGAGGTAGCAGTTCCAGGTGTCAGTTGATCGATTAATTGATTAAATTAATCATCATTAGGGACCGAGCCAGCGACCGCTGGAGGTCCCTATTGAAATTGCTCGATTTCTTACCTATTATTAGGGACCGAGC